GCTCATAGTCCCAGCCTGTATCCTGCTCTGTGTGACCTCCAGCACACCAGGTCACCCCGAACCATAGCTTCTTCCTCTGCGAATAGTGATGATGACATTTTCTTCCTGACTATGCCGTGTGAGGATGAAAAGTGAGAATGTGAGTAAAGCTTCACCTGGCCTTGGTCAAATCTCAGTGAAAGGTATCTATTGAATTATTATTGAAATATTATTATTGATATGGTTTGAATCTGCGTTCCCACCCAAATCTCATGTTCAATTGTAATCCCCAGTGTAGGAGACGGGGCCTGGTGGGAGGTGACTGGGACATGGAGGCAGTTTTCATGAATGGTTTAGTACCATCTCCTTGGAGCTGTTCTCGTGAGTGAGTGAGCTATCCCACAATTCTGGCTGTTTAGAGGTGTGTGGCATCCCCGGCCTACTCTCTCTTCCTCCTGCTCTGGCTACATAAGACATGCCTGCTTTCCCTTTGCCTTCTGCCATGATTGTAAGTTCCCTGAAGCAGCCTCTAAACTTCCTGTACAGCCAGCAGAACCCTGAGCCAACTAAACCTCTTTTCTTTTTTTTTTTTGAGACGGAGTCTCGCTCTGTCCCCAGGCTGGAGTGCAGTGGCGCGATCTTGGCTCAGCTCACTGCAAGCTCCGCCCCCCGGGTTCACACCCTTCTCCTGCCTCAGCCTCCCAAGTAGCTGGGACTACAGGTGCCCGCCACCTCGCCCGGCTAGTTTTTGTGTATTTTTTTTTTTAGTAGAGACGGGGTTTCACCGTGTTAGCCAGGACGGTCTCGATCTCCTGACCTCATGATCCACCCGTCTCGGCCTCCCAAGTGCTGGGATTACAGGCTTGAGCCACCGCGCCCGGCACCCTCTTTTCTTTATAAATTACCCAGTCTCAGTTTTTTGTTTTTGGTGGGTTTTTGGGGGTTTTTTTTGGCACAGAGTATTGCTTTGTCACCCACACTGGAGTGCAATGGCACAATCTTGGCTCACTGTAACCTCTGTCTCGCGGGTTCAAGCAATTCTCCTGCCTCAGCCTCCCGAGTCGTTGGGATTACAGGTCCCTGCCACCACGCCCGGCTAACTTTGTATTTTTAGTAGAGATGGGGTTTTGCCATGTTGGTCAGGCTGGTCTCGAACTCTTGACCTCAGGTAATCCACCCACCTTGGCCTCCCAAAGTGCTGGGATTACAGGTGTGAGCCACGACATCCGGCCCAGTCTCGGGTATTTCTTTATAGCATTCGAGAACTGACTAATACAATTATTATTCTAATAACGAAACTCAGCAACTCATTTAGTAAATTCAACAGTTACTTGAGATAAAATTCCTCATTAGCAGAAATCTTCCTTTGCTTAAGCCCCTACTTATATTAACAGATTTTTGCAGGTGGTGCCCAGGATTAAGAACATAGTTCAAGCCAGGTACAGTGGCTCACGCCTGTAATACCAGCACTTTTGCAGGCTTGAGCACCTGAGGCCAGGAGCTCAAGACCAGCCTGGTCAACACGGTGAAACTCCATCTCTGCTAAAAATACAAAAATTAGCCAGGTGTGGTGGTGTATGCCTGTAATCCTAGCTACTCGGAAGGCTGAGGCACGAGAATCACTTGAACCTGGGAGGCAGAGGTTTCAGTGAGCCAAGATTGCACCACTGCACTCCAGCTGGGTGACAGAACAAGATTCCATCTCAAAAAAAAAAAAAAACACAGTTCAACAATTATTTAGCCCACTCTCAGAGACAAATCCTATATGCTAGACTCTAGTAATATAGAGATAAAAGTAGCTCATTGTCCAGCAGTGGGAACAGTCACAGAAATACTAAAATTGTTAATTAGCACTCACTTTGGCAGCACATATACTAAAATGGGAACTATACAGAGAAGATCAGCATGGCCTCTTCACCAGGATGGCACACCAATTCATTAAGAGAGCTTTCTTTTTCTTTTTTTCTTTAAAGCGACGGTCTCGCTCTGTTGTTCAGGCTGGAATGCAGTGTCACAACCATAGTTCACTGTAAAATCAGCATTCCATATTTTTTTAAAGATTTTTTTTTTTAAATTGTTGATCATCAAAGAAAGATGGATCACTCATAACTAGTGCTGGGACAATGGAGGACCCAACAACATACTGCACACAAGCAGAAATACTGGCAGATTAGACCTAAATATGGCCAGGCACAGTGGCTCACGCCTGTAATTCCAGCACTTTGGGTGGCCGAGGTGGTGGATCACCTGAGGTCAGGAATTCGAAACCAGCCTGGCCAACATGGTGAAACCCCACCTTCACTAAAAATACAAAAAAATTAGCTGAGTGTGGTGGTGGGTGCCTGTAATCCCAGCTACCCAGGAGGGAATCACTTGAACCTGGGAGGCAGAGGTTGCAATGAGCCAAGATCATGCCACTGCACTCCAGCCTGGGCGACAGAGTAAGACTCTGTCTCAAAAA